TCTAATTCTTTCAATTATAACCCTACCATATACTTTTCCTGGTATACTCAGTAAACTTATTCCTCTATAATTTTTACAATCTCTTTTGTCCCCTTTCCCTTTATATAAAGGGACTATACATGCTCTCTGCCAATCCCTAGGTACCTTCCCCTCTTTCATACATTTATTAAACAAAAGTACCAACCACTCCAACACTATATCCCCCCCTGCTTTTAACATTTCTGTCATGATCCCATCAGTTCCAGCTGCTTTACCCCCTTTCATTCTACGTAATGCCTCATGTACCTCCACCACACTTACATTCTGCTCTTCTTCACTCCTAAAAGATGGTATACCTCCCTGGCCAGTGCATGAAATTACCACCTCCCTTTCTTCCTCAACATTTAAAAGTTCCTCAAAATATTCTCTTCATCTACCTAATACCTCCCTCTCCCCATCTACTAACTCCCCTACTCTGTTTTTAACTGACAAATCCATACTTTCCCTAGGCTTTCTTAACTTGTTTAACTCACTCCAAAAATTTTTCTTATTTTCATTAAAATTTCTTGACAGTACCTCTCCCACTCTTTCATCTGCTCTCCTTTTGCACTCTCTCACCACTCTCTTCACCTTTCTTTTACTCTCCATATACTCTGCTCTTCTTATAACACTTCTGCTTTGTAAAAACCTCTCGTAAGCTACCTTTTTCTCTTTTATCACACCCTGTACTTCTTCATTCCACCAATCACTCCTCTTTCCTCCTGCCCCCACCCTCCTATGACCACAAACTTCTGCCCCACATTCTAATACTGCATTTTTAAAACTATTCCAACCCTCTTGAACCCCCCCACTACTCATCTTTGCACTAGCCCACCTTTCTGCCAATAGTCGCTTATATCTCACCCGAACTTCCTCCTCCCTTAGTTTATACACTTTCACCTCCCTCTTACTTGTTGTTGCCACCTTCCTCTTTTCCCATCTACCTCTTACTCTAACTGTAGCTACAACTAAATAATGATCCGATATATCAGTTGCCCCTCTATAAACATGTACATCCTGGAGCCTACCCATCAACCTTTTATCCACCAATACATAATCTAACAAACTACTTTCATTACGTGCTACATCATACCTTGTATATTTATTTATCCTCTTTTTCATAAAATATGTATTACTTATTACCAAATTTCTTTCTACACATAGCTCAATTAAAGGCTCCCCATTTACATTTACCCCTGGCACCCCAAATTTACCTAATACTCCCTCCATAACATTTTTACCCACTTTAGCATTGAAATCCCCAACCACCGTTACTCTCACACTTAATTCAAAACTCCCCACGCATTCACTCAACATTTCCCAAAATCTCTCTCTCTCCTCTACACTTCTCTCTTCTCCAGGTGCATACATGCTTACTATAACCCACTTTTCACATCCAATCTTTATTTTACTCCACATAATCCTTGAATTTATACATTTGTAGTCCCTCTTTTCCTGCCATAGCTTATCCTTCAACATTATTGCTACTCCTTCTTTAGCTCTAACTCTATTTGAAACCCCTGACCTAATCCCATTTATTCCTCTCCATTGAAACTCTCCCACCCCCTTCAGCTTTGTTTCACTTAAAGCCAGGACATCCAGTTTCTTCTCATTCATAACATCCACAATCATCTCTTTCTTATCATTTGCACAACATCCATGCACATTCAGACTTCCCACTTTGACAATTTTCTTCTTCTTATTCTTTTTAGTAATCTTTACAGGAAAAGGGGTTACTAGCCCATTGTTCCCGGCATTTTAGTTGACTTTTACAACACGCATGGCTTACGGAGGAAAGACTCTTATTCCACTTCCCCATGGATATAAAAGGAAAAGTAATAAGACCAAGAACTATTAAGATAAAATCAAAGAAAACTCAGATGAGTGCGTATAAATAAACGTGTACATGTATGTGTAGTGTGACCTAAGTGTAAGTAGAAGTAGCAAGACATGCCTGTAATCTTGCATATTTATGAGACAGACAAAAGACACCAGCAATCCTACCATCATGTAAAACAATTACAGGCTTTCGTTTTACACTCACTTGGCAGGACAGTAGTACCTCCCTGGGTGGTTGCTGTCTACCAACCTACTACATATATATATATACATACATATATACATATATATATACATATACATGTATATATATATATATTTTTTTTTTTCAACAAGTCAGCCGTCTCCCACCGAGGCAGGGTGACCCAAAAAGAAAGAAAATCCCCAAAAAGAAAATACTTTCATCAACATTCAACACTTTCACTTCACTTATACATAGCCACTGTTTTTGCAGAGGTGCCCAGCACACAACAGTTTAGAAGCATATACATATAAAGATACACAACATATCCCTCCAAATGCCAATATCTCAACCCCTCCTTTAAAGTGCAGGCATTGTACTTCCCATTTCCAGTACTCAAGTCCGGCTATATAAAAATAACCGGTTTCCCTGAATCCCTTCATTAAATACTACCCTGCTCACACCCCAACAGCTCGTCAGGTCCCAAATACCATTCGTCTATTATGGTTTAGAAAAGTGCTGAAAGTAATTGCATAGAAGAGCCCCCCTCAAGGGAGGGTCCTTGATGCTGGTGAGGGACTCTTGATCTAGGGAATTAAATCTGCACTCCAGTTCCCTGAATTGAGCCTGAATACCTTTCATCCCTCTCCCATGTGCACTGTATAATCCTATGGGTTTAGCAGTCCCCAATGATTATAATAATTATTATGGGAGAGAGCGAGTACAGTAAGCTGAACTAGGTTAAGAGAGGAGTAAAGTGTCACCCGCCTGTTCCTCAATCTTCCCCACAGCCAATCATCACCCCCATCCTTCCCTGCCAGTCAACCACCTGCACATGCTCTGACATCGTTAAATGTGCCGACAACTAGAAATGTAGGCAATAAATCTACAATTTTTTGACATCACTACCAAATAAATACATGCTGGTTATGAGCAGGGCCAACCTTGCTATATTGCACCTCGATTCTTACATAATGCTTGGGCGAATAGGACATGCCTAATTATATTAATGGGGTCACTAAACCTGTAAGGGTCATAGTGCCTGGCAGAGTGGGAAGCATTCATGTTTGAGCCAAGGATGGGAAGAAAGGGGAGGCTGGTAGGGCAGGCAAGGTCTAATCCCTTGGATTAGGAGCCCCTTACCAGCATCAAGGAACCTCCTTTATGGGAAGGACCTGTCTAGCATGGGTCACTAGGCCTTCTGCAGTATTCCTCTATTCTTATGTATATTTCTTAAGTATAATGGCTGGGTGTGAGCAAGACCTGCATAGCATGAGCAAGTATAGTTACTGCAATGCTCCTTTATTCTTATGTTTATCAGGTGTTGGGGCTGCCTTTATTTTGGTCACAAATACTGTGAAGTTGTTAGAACTGTTTTTGTTTTCAGTACTTTTTTCGCATCAGAACAATTTGACCATTTTTTAAGTCCTTCAAAAATTAAGGTAGATTTATACACGAGATACGTATATGACAAAGAATTTTTAACAAAAGTCAGGGATTGCTCCATACACACCATTGGCTTATACTCAAGTATACATGGTAAATACTATAATCATGAGTTGTAATAGTACGTACTATTAAAAAAAAAGAAAAAATGCTGGATAAGAATTTTCTTGTACATATTAAAGTTTTAATTAAAAGCAACTTTCTTGGCATTAATAACCATACTAATTATAACAAATCATCTGGTACTGAAAAAAAAAAAATTGCCTCAAATTGCAGTACTGAAGTATTCAAAATAACATTGTTCTTTCTTGCCCCCTTTCATAAAGGCCTTTTATCTTAAACCCATACATCTTCATCAGTCATTTTTAAATATGTACTCTTTTTAAAGTTTTCTAAGACCTACCACAACTCCTCTACATGCATTCTCCTAATTTCCCTTTTATAATTATAAGAATTAATCTAAACTTCTAAAATGTTTTTAAATTTATTACTTTTTCCATTGAGTTATAGCTTTGATAATATTTTATCCTGAGTAGCTATCTTCTTAGTCTCAGGAAAAAAAATCATGAATTTTAAAATAAGATAAACAAGTTCTTGCCTTATTGACTTTTTTATTACTCAAGAGACCTTTCCAGCAGAAATAATGTTATATCTAGAATATATTTTGCATAAACAGTTTAACATACTCTTTATACCTTGTGGCTTAGCGCTTCTTTTTGATTATAATAATAATAATACTCTTTATAATATTCCTTAAGCCTCTTAGTTTATCTTCATACAAGGAAAGCCTAATTTTTCATTTTTCAAGACTAAAGCCATAATCCAAGATTATCTCAAAAACTTAATAAATGAACAGGTAAATATGAACATCCCTATCAACTAATTCATAGCACAAGTTAAGAACCACAAACAGTAAGGGTTATTTATCTTTTCATGAAAGTAAAAGCAACTGGAAATATTTATTTAGCTATCACAAATGTATCAGAAAGATTTATTTTAGTTAGGGGAATGGTAAATCCACAGGAGGTCATAAGAGCACCTAGGGAATGGGCGTTATTCAGGTTCGGTCCAAGAAAGGGAAGGGCAAGTCCAGTTCCTTGGATCAAGGGCCCCTCATGGGCATCAAGGCACCTCCCTTCAGGGATAAATCAGTAAGAATCTTACAAACTAGGCAACACTCATAAATGATAACTTACTATAAAATTCATAAAAAAGGATAATTAGGAGGGTGAATTAGCAAATTTCCTATTAACATCTTGATAGCAATCCAATCTTGCTAATATTCTTTGCATGTAAACTGACACACAATTTAAGCATGAAAGACAGTGGCTTTAAACAAAGCTGAACTCATGTTACAGTATATTTTTATTTAACACCCGATACAGATGAATATCAAGTGTCACTGTGCAAGAGTGCTGCTTTTAAATATGGCATTTTGTGTGTGTGTGCATGTGTGTGTGTGTGTGCATGTGTGTGTGTGTGTGTGCATGTGTGTGTGTGTGTGCATGTGTGTGCATGTGTGTGTGCATGTGTGTGTGTGCATGTGTGTGTGTGTGCGTGTGTGTGTGCATGTGTGTGTGTGTGTGTGCATGTGTGTGTGTGCATGTGTGCTTGTGTGTACATGTGTGTGTGTGTGTGCGCGCATGTGTGTGCATGTGTGTGCGTGTGTGTGTGCGTGTGCGCGCGCTCGTGTGTGCGTGTGCGTGCATGTGCGTGTGCGTGCGTGCGTACGCGTGTGTGTGACTACACATGCTTGGTGACACGCTGAAACTTCCGCTCTCTTTGGCATATAAAAAATGTATAAATATTCACAAGTCTCACTGTTATACTTTACATGGCTATTTACAAGACAAGATATATAGTCTCTTAACTAGTCATGTGCTTTTTAAAAATAAAGCACACCTGTGTAGCATTTGATCCTATGGCCGATTTCGTTTTCATATACAGATTCTGTTCATCCTGTGTTATGAGATCAATCAAGAGGTCATGAAAATATTTATTTTCAAGATTAGTTTCACTAAAAAGGCTATGGATAACTTTGCCGTTTTCTTCCAAATGTGTTTACTATCACATATACGAAATTTTGACTATTTCTGAACCCATATGCACTATAATATACACTTTACACCCATCACATTTTAAAAACAATCCTAAAACAAATATCAAACATTAAAGTACAGGAACCAACTCTTTAAACAGAGGCTTCCCATAAGATATGAGGCTTCATCCTCAATTTAACCCGTAAACGGTCCAAGCAGATCTACGTTCACATGTGTAGTGCTCCAAAAGTAGATCTACGTTTTTTTTTACATATTTTTAAATATAACAAAAAAAAGTAGATCAAAGTTTTTTACACATTTTCAAATGTACAAAAAAAAAAAAAAGAAGATCTACTTTTCTTACATACTTTCAAATGTTGAAAAAACGTATATATACGTTTGGATCGTTTACGGGTTAAAATGTCTTCTAATATTTCACTTAACTTAGTTAGGCCTAACACATTAGTTACACTTATAGTACATTATCCAACTTCACACAGTACTCACAATCATTTCTCATGTTACACAAAAGAATGTCAATAACAAGCATTTGGTGGAAAACTCTGGAAATTGTGTGGAGGTTGTCCTTTTTTATTACAAATCAAAGCATTATCAACAAACAAGACATCATTAATAAAGACATTAGGTCATTGTGTAACTACTTTCCTGATATACTATTTAAATTCGTACAACAAATTTTACAATTTCTTTAAAATTATAGACTAATGCATATAACCCTTAGACCTGCTGAGGTTCAAACTGTAGACATCTGAGCAAAAGACAAGTATGTACAGTACTACAACTGATGCATCAGTAGGGTGGAGCATATGGTACCCGACTTCTACATGCAGGTCCAAGATTCAATCCCTGACAGCATTTGCACTTATCTGCTAATGACTTTGACCCTGTACAGTAGATCCCCAATTTAAAATTTCTGACTCAAAATGTTCTGCTTTCAGGGCAGTGGCAGTTTGGAACCAATTACTGACTTATAAACACAGACTTACACTCATGATCATGAAGGACCAGAGAGGCAACAGTGGAAATCGGTGCTGCAGGTGTTCAACCATTGTTGCAACATGGTTTACATTCACCGTCTTGCATTTCCTGTTCTTAACATTATCAACTTAAATCTTATTCTAAAATTGACCTAAACTGATATTTCTAATAAAGAATTATCAGAAAAAAATAAATTTGGACATAGGAAATCCAATGAGCTAACTGTACTATGAATGAAATCCTATGGCTGGTTTTCAATTTAAGTGTCATACACTAAGTCAAAAGAAATGGACACCAGCCAGCCAAAGACTGAATTGTGGATAATTTTTTCTCAGATGTTTTGTGTTATAGTGCATACACTATTTAAACAATGTTTTCATTATTTCTAAGGAAAAAGGAACAATACAGAAAGCAAATTACTGGGCAATTATTCTTAGCAAGGAAATCAAGTAAAACTAGATATGGAATATTATGACTCGGAAACACATTTGTAATTATAACATAGGAGTCTGTGGGAAAATAGGTTCCAGGCTCTCTCCAACTGATTTACAGCTTTCTGGAAGGCATTAATATATTAAGTGGGGGATCTACTGTAGTCTTGTAAACTAATATTCAGCTTGCTATTCCTACAATATATCTAAACGTAAAAACATTTATACTCGAAGCAAAATGTACTGGTTTACTAAATAATTATTTGAACTTAAATTTTTCACCCCCTGATCATTACATATTTACCCAGCGTTCTCCACCAAGCTATACATTTTTTATAAATCACTTGGAGTCGCATCATCCGAACTACATGCTACAGTCCTTTCAGTCCTTCGCTAATTTATTCTCCCTTTCCATTTTATGTTTTCTCTTGTGGTAACTCTGAGCAAAGGAGTTTATAATACTAATGATGAAATATGCCACCATCAGAAGAATAAATTTTTCAAAAATCCAGGCTATAATATTTACTCCATCCTGAAATTGAAAAATAAAAATTTCAGTTTTGGCAAATTTTGCATAATTAGCTGAAGCACATATTATCATCTAAAATAAGAAAATCAATCCTCATCTCTGACACTGCTCCTTTTGGCACTCTACTGATGTCAGGGGTTCATATCATGAAACTCCCTCTTCCCCTCCCTCCAAACGCAACTTTAATTTATCAACCTTTTATCACTAACAGTCTCAATGATCCCACAAGAATAAACAGGTTCTTTAACTTCCAAAATATGTCATACATTACTGTGCAAACTCCATGGGGAAGTGGAACAGAATTCTTCCTCCATAGGCCATGCGTGTTGTAAGAGGCGACTAAAATGCCGGAGCAAGGGACTAGTAACCCCTTCTCCTGTACACATTACTAAAGTTAAAAAGAGAAACTTTTGTTTTTCTTTTTGGGCCACCCTGCTTCAGTGGGATATGGCCGGTTTCTAGAAAGAAAAGATTATTTTGCAAAGCTTAAGTAGGTTATTCTATTAATTTCAGGTGTTACAAAAGAAAAGGCAATACATGTATTATAATAGCAAAGTTATCCAGTCCTGCTAAGCATTTTTATATGTTGCTGTTTGTCTTCTGTGACTGACCCCATTGGCTGACAACTACCCCATTACACTACTAAATCCGTTGTTCTAGGACTGATACTGAACCAAGATGGAAAAGCTGCAGCACTTACACTATATAATGACAGAAAAATTGGTTTATTTCTTCCCTTAATACAGAATGATAATTCTTTTAACACACCGGCCGTATCCCACCGAGGCGGGGTGGTCCAAAAGGAAAAACGAAAGTTTCTCCTTTTTCTTCTTTCTTTCAACACACCGGCCGTATCCCACCGAGGCGGGGTGGCCCAAAAGGAAAAACAAAAGTTTCTCCTTTTACATTTAGTAATATATACAGGAGAAGAGGTTACTAGCCCCTTGCTCCCGACATTTTAGTCGCCTCTTACAACATGCATGGCTTACGGAGGAAGAATTCTGTTCCACTTCCTCATGGAGGTAAGACGAAATAAACAAGAACAAGAACTAGAAAGAAAATAGGAGAAAACCCAGATGGGTGTGTATATATATGTTTGTACATGTATGTGTAGTGTGACCTAAGTGTAAGTGGAAGTAGCAAGACATACCTGAAATCTTGCATGTTTATGAGACAGAAAAAAAGGACACCAGCAATCCTACCATCATGTAAAATAATTACAGGCTTCCGTTTTACACTCACTTGGCAGGACGGTAGTACCTCCCTGGGCGGATGCTGTCTACCAACCTACTACCTAGGAGAATGATAATACATTTTCACACAAATATGTTAAGAAATTTACCTGAGAACATGCTCTCTTCACCCTGAAGAGCAAGTTATTCCTGCATCCAAGAGCAAATACTCATCACCATAAAAGTGCTAGTTATTGTGACAATGCATATAATAATAAATTATTCTTCTTTCAACAAACTGGCATATCCTACCGAAGCAGGGTGACCCCAAAAGAAAAGCGAAAGTTTATCTTTTCAACTTTAGTAATGTATACAGGAGAAGGGGTTACTAGCTCCTTGCTCCTGGCATGTTAGTCACCTCTTACAACACACATGGAGATAAAAGGAAATAAACAAGAACAAAACCTAGTAAGAAAACAAGAAAACCCAGAGGGGTGTGTATACATATGCTTGTACATGTAAGTGTAGTGCAACCTAAGTAGAAGTAACAAGACGTACCTGAAATCTTGCACATATGAGACAGAAAATAATAAATTATGAACAGCAAAAATAAAGCTATACATACCTGGCTTTCTGGACTGGTGCCAGGCTTTCTATGAAATTTCTTCTTTTGTTTCTCGAGAAAGGATTTAAACGGCTGTTCCAACTTGCTTCCTATTACAGGTACAAATGCTAACAATCCCACAGCTCGGGCAAGCAACGATTCGTTAAATGCTATAATGACAAACATTTTCTGAATGTGCATCTTTATGATGGCTTTCCCAATCAGAGTGGCACCAAAAAATGTCCAGAAAGGAACAAGAAAGTGACCACATGTGATGCCAGCAAGGTCAAAGAGAGGGTTTGGAATCTGCAAGAGAAGAGAATTTTAATAGTAACATTTACATGTATACCCTTGGGGTATACTTATTTACCTAAATCCATCACTTTTTCTTATTCTTGTCATCTTATTATGTATCTTTAATTTTCTGCATACATCCAGAGCTTTAAGATTTTTCTACTAACTTCTGATACTATATATTTCTTTCAATCTCTTAATAAGCTTCATGACAACAAATTTACTGAAATTCAATCTCAAATCAAATACTATTTGTACTACTTACAGATGCACATGCAAGGATACCAAAGAATCCCACTCTTTCGACTAACTTCTCCACTGAAAGCTTCACCCGGTCAATAAAAGACATATCTTCAGGTCTTTCTTTTAACCGTTGAAGCTCTTCAAATTCTGCCATTTCCTCATCATCAGGATCATAACCTGAGAGCCGTGCTCCCCGGGCCATGAAATATGGAGGCAACTCACCTGATAAAAGGAACCTAGATGAAGGCTTACAAAAAATTTGTGAACTGTTTCTATACTCCTTCAGAAACTTCATCTTCGGCAAAACATATGGGTGGGCCCTGCTTATATATCAGGTTAGGTTCCAGGCTACTGCTGTAGAGTGAAACAGCTTTCTTCACTTTCAAATGCATATAAAGGCCTGATAACATTTTTAAACTATCATATACTGAACAATGGAACTAGGCCTAAAAAAAAAAATGCATATACAGTACACACATTACTTATCTTAAAATACTTTTGTCCTTAGCGTATAGTGAGTGGTGAATATATTTAGTGTAGGAAGTCTGAATAAATGAAGAACTGGTATAAATGAAAACATTGCATTAGCAAAATGCTGTAAAGAGGGGCCTGCCTGTATTAAACTTCTTTTTAAGAAATTAAAACTTCTAATCTCTTGCTAATGGGGCCAAATCAGAATATGCTGGTTAATTAATCTAGATCAGAATAGCATATAACACTTTACACTTGGTATGTATATGGCTTGAGTAAAGATGTGACCTCTCTGAAAGAGAAATCCATTATCCTGTTATCACTTCTAAAGGTAGAACAACACTATATGCAGAGCAAAACCTTGACTTATAAGACTACAATTTGTTCTAAACAATGGAACTTAATCAAATGTAATCTAAAAAGATATGCTCTAAATGTAGTCTGTCTACTACACTTGTGGACAAATTTTGCCTTGCAAGCATCACTCCTAGTGAAAAACTTGCCCTTGATATCCTGACCTTATAAGAATTTAACATTTAATAACATATGGCAATTTAAAACTTATAAAGCAATAGCTCAAGTAGTAGTCTGAAAGCACCAGTCACAAGACTGATTTTGCAAGAAATTAATCACAATTACAACTAGATGATAGATGTCATCTTGAAATTTTTCTTATTATTCGGTTTCTTTAAAATTCACATTATTTTATTTATTGTGCAACTTCTTAATTACTTACTGATCGATGAGTGGGATTCAGAGACATGCAATAAGATGGTATGTAAGTAGCAAAAAGTATTGCCAAAAAGTAATTTTTCAAAAGGTGCATAAACATAGTAATTATCATACTAAAGCAAAATCATCTGAGTCTTTAAAAAGCCTGACTTCTGGCAATGAACTCTAGCCTGAGGATCAAAATAGTATTTTTAGCTAGTCAGTCATAAGGTTTGGTGTACACCACTGGCGTTTATTAGTGTAACAATGAACCGGATACTTGTTCACTGGCAAACCCTATAAGAGGCATAAGCAAGCACTTTTTCTTTATCGTAAGTAATCTGCCCTTATTTCTGCAAGCAGCACTGGTACTCATCATCATAGCTAATCTTTTTAGATTCTTTTATCTCAGGTGTAGATTTTCTTTTCTCAGCAACTGAGCATATATTGTACCACACCTCTATTATATGTAATCTTCCCTCATATGTACCACAGGTTAGATACGGCATCAGTTTCAAAGACAAAGCTATGTACCAAATTCATTTAAATATGCTTCAGCAGATTAAGTTTTACACTCAATGTTTTAAGCAAATACTGTAGCATGCCTCAAACTTGCTATGCCACCCATAAGAATACACACACTTTAAACCTTTAGTTTTTCTCTTTTTTTGCCTTTTCCTTCAACTTCTGGTCAGAATGATGTGTTCTCAGTTAAACCATAAATACACACTTTGTTAAGTTTTACTAGACAGTATTAAAGTTAATTTTTCTGCTTCTTCAAATCATACATTACTACATTAATTTTTTTAACAAAATAATCTCCACAAACTGAGAAATACTACCATTATTAAATATTTTAAGCAGTACAGCTTTCTGCCCAATGGTGTGTTTGGCCATCTCTATTATTATAATCAAAACAAAGTGCTAAACCTACTAGGGTCTTGGCCATCTTTAATTTAGGAAAGTAATTTAAACAACCCCAAAGATAGCAAATGGGTGTGCCAAAGTATCAACATCATTGGACAACGGCTAATTTTGATGGTACCTGTATTGACCTAAAACTGAGTACAGCCTCTCCTCACTTAACGACGGACTTCCATTCCTAAGATCACATCGGTAAACAAATTAGTCGCTAAGTGAGGAGCATACTATAATGGTAGTGGGTTTGTGTCAACCATCTTTGATATTGAATATTAAAATGGTATAAAATACCAAAAGGTTGTTAGGTAAGACACATGTGCAACTGTTAGGTATCTTTATTTCGAAACGTTTCGTCTACACAATAGGCTTCTTCAGTCGAGTCACCTTTGCACCATATATAACATTTCTGGTATATTTTTAAATGTTTATACAGTAGTGTACTGTATATTGTAATAAATAGAATTGAGGAAATCAGCTCTAATATACATTATTTAGGTATGAATACTGGTCAGAGAGCCCGTCGTAAGTCTGAGTCGTTGGTAAACGAGTACGTTGCCGAGTGAGGAGAGGCTGTATTGGCATTGTTGGGTATTGTCTAATTTTGATGGCCTTACAACTAGCAATGGGACCAAGTTATCAACTCATTTTGCTGGCATTTCTCGTATTAAAGACTGATGACATCTTCTCATATTACAGACTGTGATAGTTTCAATGCACAAGTTTTTCTTCCACTGAATAAAAAAATTTATGATTTTTACTTTTAAAATTTATTATTCCTATTCAAAACGCAGTTCTGTACCTTCCTGATCTCTCCCACACAGGAGGTTACAGCTTGTCCCAAGTTGCACCCTTCTACATTTGCAAACAGGCTAAAGAGGAGCAAATTAATATTACAAAACTGCCAATCCACAGTATGAGCATGTATAAAACAATCACACACTGTACTATTTTTTATAAATAAACAACTTGGTTTTTAAGTTAATAAACCAGGAATACAACTCATTTTCATTCTAGTGACCTCCTGCACTGGCATAAATAAAACTTATACAGACCAACCCTCAAAATATGCAGTACTGTATCTGTAAAAATATTCATCACAATGTATGTCTAACACTACCTAGGAAATATTCATGGCTTAACAGTAACTGGAAAGTAAAATACACACAGGTCTCTCATCTTTTCCTATAAATGAATTAATGGCATTTTGCAGCTGCATTAACCTCAGTTTCGTCCATAATTCATTCCAGAAGGCTGTTCGAGTGCCGTTACCGAACAAATTTGTTCCCATAAGGAATACAGTAAATTACATTATTCCATTTCAGACTCCCAAAATTACACTTACAAAATCACTTACAATAATACACTTGCATAAATGTTCAAGTTGGGAGCTGTACAAAACTCGGGGTACCACTGTACTTAATTCGGCACAATAAAAATCTTCAAAGTGCTTTGTGAACTGTACCAATTGCATTCAGCTACCATATATCACATCCTGGATTACATATAGAAACAGGAAATTGCACAACAGTAATATTGGCATAAAGCTAGGGAAAACCTGTACAGTACTATGTTGGTGTCCACACTCCTAAGGATAAAAACACATCATAAGTTATCATTTATATTTTGTGATTTTTAACATTTTTGTCAGTGTATGTGTAGCAATAACTGATGAATAAAGTGAAACCTTAACCCTTTGAGGGTCCATGCCGTAGATCTACGGCTATACGTTGAGGGTCCAAACCGTAGATCTACTGCTATACGTTTAGGGTCCAAACCATAGATCAACGCCATGAGCTCAGCTCACTCTGATAAGCTGTGAGCAGTAAATTTGGACCTAGATATGAGAGAATACATCTATGTGGTATGTGTGCACCACATAAAACAAATCCTGCAGCACACAGTGCATAACAAGAGAAAAACTGAGACCATAATTTTTGATTAAAACTGATTTTGCAGTGTTTTTTTCGTATGTTTTTTATAGTTGTATTTGCAATTTCTTGGTCTCATTTGATAAAATGGAAGATATATTATAGAAATAGAGATGATTTTGATTGGTTTAAGTAATGGAAATGGCTTGAAACTGAGCTCAAAGTAGCGGAAATGTGGAATTTTTGCCGATGTTCAAGATTAAACAAATGACTTCACACGTCTAATACACGCCAGCTGGTGGATCTAATATACATTTACAATGTGCTGATATTATTTATACAATTATTACAATATTGCATGACAGTAAATCTTCTATTTTTTGGTTTGAAAAAAAAATTCCTTAAGTGAATTAAAAGTGAAAATGGAATTCATTTGTAAAGGCTGAAAACATAACTAATGAACAGAGGAAATGTTAGTTTTGTGCCAGGAATGCCTGCATTGTTTATTCTGAACCCTATTTTGAAACTGGAATATTTTGAACTTTGCACTAAATTGGCCAAATTACCAATTTCCAATCACTTTGTATTGTAGTTGAAACAGCTGAGCTGGCGATTTCTTGTGCTCAATCGATAGAATAGAAGTAATACTAGTGAAATAGCTAAGAATTTGATCGACTGGAATAAGGTAATTGGCCTAAAATGGGAGTCAAATTCGGCAAAATCGCCGATGCGTCAATATCGCTGACACGTCAAAATTTGCGAGCATAATTTCGTCAATTTTCCATCAAATTTCGTACTTTTTGTTCTATTACCTTCAGGAAAAGATTCTCTACCATTTCATAAGAAAAAATAACAATTATTTTTTGAAAATTCTTGGACACTGGTGTGCACTTTGAAATTTGGCCTCTGGACTCTAAAAGCGTTAAGAAAAACTCATGCACACCCACACCCCTGAATGTAGCCCTTAATTACCTTAAGCCCATCTTACCTAAAGCAGTACCAGCACCCCACATAAACGCTTCCAGTCGAACTTTTGACATAATAGTGAAGATTGACATTTCTTTCGCAGCCACTTCTTCCTCTGGGCACATTATGCTGAGAAAGAAAAAATGCAACACTGATTAAAAATAAATTATGAACTTGAAATACTCATTACTTTTGTGAATCCCATGCATTACTTCCCCATATTAAGACAACTAAATATATAGCAAAAATTTTTGCAAATGGTAAACAGAAGACCGACCCTTCACTTTTATTTACACTGAATGATCCACACAAACTTAGTGCTTCACATACAGAGGGCTCTGTGTATACAGCTCCCCATTTTTAGTATTCCACATTTTTATTGGCTTTCAACTGAGCCACTGTACATTATGTTCAGTGCTTTTACCACTTTTCCGTTGCTATCATCATTTTCATACAATAGTCACATGAGGGAAGGCCAACTGGTACCATATTTTAAGGCAAATATTGTATGTACTGTGTACTATTTATTTTACTTTATCTTTTTTTTATGCCTAGCTGTATTGAGCACTTAACATGTGACAGTGTAAACACGTTAACAGGCGTTTTTAGGTGCACCTGATAATGAAAAATGTTCTTTTCCACCTGTCGGCGATTTTTGCTTATTATATGAGGTTGCAAACTCTAAGAGCCATACAAATAGGGCCCTCCTGTACATGTACATTAATGTGGAATTATTAATAACCACATATATAGGACTCAAGTTCCTACCAGGAAGAATTCTCTTCTTTTAGAAATGCCAACATGAGGATATTTAGAACTTCAAGATAGAGCTTTCAACTCATTTATCAATTGATTCCTCCTAGAAAAGCAAGAAATCAAAATTATCTGAACACTTCTTCTGGCCATCATCTTAATTTTCATCGCCATGCCATCACTTCGGCTCCTTTATCTGCTAGATGAATACAGTGGTACCCCAAGTTTCGGCCACCTCCCAACATGAACAATTATGTGAGTGTATTATTGTAAGTGTATTTTTGGGGGTCTGAAATGAACTAATATAATTTACATTATTCGGTAACGGCACTCGAACAGCCTTTTGGAACGAATTATAGCCGAAACTCGGGGTTCCACTGTACTTGTACAAATTCTAAACATTTCTTTCATACAGTTATGCTTGGTCTTCCATTTCAAAATCATCTAACTTTAGTATGCACTTTTTCATCTTGACATAAGCAAATTGATGAGAAATAAGTATAAAAGATGTCAGTTTAATTAGGCAAGCCCTAATTAAGCTGTTTCACTCAATAGTGAACATAAGTCCTACAGAGGAATATACAATAGAAAATTATACGGTATACCAAACAATGTCAAGAATCTGTTGCAACCACACTCTTCCTTACTCACTGATACGGTAGATAAGCTCTTGCACAGTATATTCAACAAGAGGATTTAATGAAAATCACTCTTCAGCAGAGTATCATCCAACAAAAGCTTGCAAAAGCTCCCCTTGCTAAATATTTCTCATTAAATCTTGCTTTCCTTGTCTTAAACAAACTTTTCTTACTAACCAAAATATATAACCACTGTTTGAGTCTTTCTTGGTTAAATCTTCTCAGCAGCCTATTTATATTTCTACAAGATACGTTCCCAATTCAACTGAAAGTGATGGTGTTGTAAGTGGAAAAAGTAGAGCTGAGTACCACAGCATGTAGTAACAAAACTTTGAACATTATTTAATTCTTTAACAATTTTCATGCACCATGAAATTTTTTTTTTGTTGAACTTTCTGAATTGCATTTTAACCCTCTCACTGCCTCTATACGTGTCGCTCACATCAGACCTACGTTTTAAGCACAGCACCCTCAAATATACCATGAGCATTCTTGTACCATTCTTGTACTGCTACTACTACTACCACCACCACCTCTTCCTGCCTATATATAGCCGTCCTGCTCCACTTCTGGTTAGTGTGACTTTGTAAATGGTCCAAATTGGACCGAAACGTCGTCGTAAGCTTCTCTCTTTTATGTGCGGGTTATTTGTGTATCGTTCCAGTCACGGTATTGTGCCTTTTTTTTTTTTGTTATTGTTATTTTGTTACCATGAGCATCATATATTGTCCTAGACATGAGAATGAGTTTGTTCAGTGGGTATGCACAGTATAAAAAATAAAATTCTGCACCATGCAGTGCTTGATGGAAAAAGCAAACCTCTGACCTTGAGTTTTGTTTAAATTAGTGACTGAGGCATTTTCTAGGATGGTTTTTATGATTTTATTGGCTGTTTTTTGGTATCAGTTCATAGAATGGAATACATAATACTGTAACAGAGATGTTTCTGGTCAGTTTCAGGACTGGAAGTAGCTTAAAATAGGGCTCAAAGTAGCAGAAATATTAGATATTTGATGATCTTCTTGAGGAAGCATACGGCTTCCCCTACTTGGCCTGTTTAATTGGTTTTTATTAGGTCTGCTTCAATTACTATGATGCCCTAAATCATGACCAATCATTCCTGGTTATATTGTATTAATCTGAGTAATAGGGTAAAACCGTAATTGTGATGGATTTAAAATGTAAGGCAAGTGTAATATAGGAGAGGCCTGGGGATGTTACTAACCCTTTGAGGGTCTACAGGCCCTCTCCGAGACTTGTTCTCAGGGTCAGCCAAATTTAAAAAAAAAAAATTATTTTTTCTTATGAAAAGATAGAGAATCTTTTCCCGATCATAATGACACCAAAAGTATGAAATTTGATGGAAAACTTACGGAATTATTTTCTCGCGAAGTTAGAGGTCTCAACGATGTTTACGCATCGGCGATTTTGCCCACTTTGAGCCCTATTTTCGGCCAATTCCAGTGTACTAGTCGACAAAAATCATAGCTATTTCACTAGTACTCCATTTTTTCTATTGAATGAGTACAAGAAACCACCAATTTACTGATTTCAACTATCCAATACAGTGGTTAGAATTTAGCAATTTTGCCAATTTCACACAAATTTCAAAAGATGCCAATTTCCAAATAGGGTCCAGAATAAACAAGAAAGACATTCCTGGCGCTAAAATAACATTTCCTCTGTTCGTTAGTCACATCCCCAGGCCCCTCTTATATTTCTTTGGCTTTCCACTTTCAATTTTTATTCTTACAAAAAATAGAAGATTTACTGTTATGCAGACTGCTGCATTAGTGTAGAAATGGTATAAATAATATCAGCGCACTTGTGAAAGAATATAAGACTCAGCAGTTGATGTGTATTGGACGCTTGGCATGATTTGTTTACTTTTGAACCTTGGTAAAAATCGAACATTTCTGCTACTTTGAGCTCAATTTCAAGGTACTTTTCATTGTAAAACCAGTCAAAATCATCTCAATTTCTGTAATATGTCTTCCATTCTATAAAATGAGACCAAGAAAACTAGAATACAACAATAAATACCATACGAAAATACAGTGCAGTCGCTGTTTTATTCCAAAAACACGGTCAAAGTTTCTTTTTTTCTCATTATGTACTGTGTGCTGCAGGATTTTTTTTATACTGTGCACACTGACCACATAGACCCATTCTTTCATATGTATGCCTACCAGCTTTCTCCCACTAGATTTGAGGGCGCTAGAATTTAGGTGTACTAGTACGTCAAAAACCCTGGGTTGTAAGCCGTACTAGTACGGCCGAAACCCTCAAAGGGTTAATGAACAGAGGATAAGTTGCTATAGTGGTTTAAATGCAGAGTGCTTTATTTCGAACTCCAATTTAAAAACAATGTTCAGTTTTGTGTAAAACTGGCCAAATTACCAACTTCTGTGCACTTTATAGTGTAGTTTCGATAGCTGAATAGGTGGTTTCCTGTGTTCAACTGACAGAATGAGCCATGGACTTGGCTTAAATTAGAACAAAATCACTGATGCATAAACTATGCCCAGACTAACTTTATGCCTGCATAATTTTGAAAACTTTCCATAAAATATCATATTTCTGGTGTCATTACCTTCAGAAAAAGGTTTTCTACCATTTCAGAAAGAATCATTTTTTTTAAATCACAGGTCAAACCTTTTAACTTTGGGGGCTGTGACAGCAAAAGGATTAGCCCTTTCAGGGTCAAAAGGCCCTCTCCTAAAGTTGTTCTCAGGGTCGAAAATTTTTCAGAAAAAAAAAAAAAAAATATTTTCTTATGAAAAGATAAAGAATCTTTTCCCGATCATAATGACACCAAAAGTATGAAATTTGATGGAAAATTTATATGATTATGCTCTAGCGAAGTTAGCAGCCTCGACGATGTTAACGCATCGGCGATTTCGCCCACTGAGCTATTTTCGGCCAATTCCAGTGTACTAGTCGACAAAAATCATAACTATTTCGCTAGAACTCCATTTTTTTCTATCGAATGAGTACAAGAAACCACCCATTTACAGATTTCAACTATCCAAAAAAGTGGTCAGAAATTAGCAATTTTGCCAATTTCACACAAATTTCAAAAGATGCCAATTTCCAAATAGGGTCCAGAATAAACAAGACAGACATTCCTGGCACTAAAATAACATTTTCTCTGTTCATTAGTCATGTCCCCACACCCCTCTTACATTTCTTTTGCTTTCCGCTTTGAATTTTTATTCTCACAAAAAATAGAAGAATTACTGTTAGGCAGACTACTGCATTAGTGTAGAAATGGTATAAATAATATCAGCGCACTTGTGAAAGAATATTAGACTCCCCAGTTGATGTGTATTGGACGCGTGGCATGATTTGTTTACTTTTGAACTTTGGCAAAAATCGAACATTTCTGCTACTTTTCATTGTGAAACCAATCAAAATCAAAACAAATTTTTTTCCCCTCATTACGCACTGTGTGCTGCAGGATTTTTTTTTTATACTGTGCACACTGACCACATAGACCCATTCTTTCACATGTAGGCCTAACAGCTTTCTCTCGCTAGATTTGAAGGCGCTAGAATTTATGTGTACTAGTACGTCAATAACCCTGGTGCGTAAGCCATACTAGTACATCGGAAACCCTGAAACAACACAATGTCAAGTTGCATTACTATAAATGAAATTGCACAACATTATTTTCTCCACAATGAACACGAAAAACATAATAATGCATATATGTAAGTGTGAGCTGAAGCCATACGGTCCACCCTGCAGATGGAACATACTGTATTTTCTGGCATATAAGGTACACGAACATTGGCTGTTTGCTGGCACAATTTTTACAAGCAGTTGTAATGTTAGTAAACAACTGCTAAAGCATAACCCAAAGACTACCTTTGACCCTGAATGGTGGCCCCTAAGCCCCTCGCACACAAAACATCCTTTACCCCTTCCCTCTAACCTTGCCAAGGACAACCCCTACCCCACCTTCCTTCCACTCCAGATTTATACACCCTTAGAAAATTGTAAGTATTAACTCTATAGTTCTTGAACCAAATAATCTCTATACATAAATAAAATGAACATATTATGTACATTTTTTTTTTCACCTCAACAGCTGTCTCACTCCAAGACACATTTAACATCACTCATACACTCACTGTCTTTCCAGAATGTGCTGTTAGCAATTAAGATTACCCTCCTACTGTAACCTCTCCAACTCTTCTAAGTGCAGGCACTGCACTTCTAACTTTCAGAAGAGCATTAAGTCGTAAGTGGAGATCCTACTATATAATGCAAAAAAAAAAAAAGTCAAATACTGTACTAGTGCATAAGTTTTCAGCCCCTATTGATATCACAGTTGTTAAAAAACATAACAGACTTCTTTTTTCTACCACACTGGCCATTTTCCACCAATGAAGAGTGACCCAAAGAAACACACTCTTCACTTGTTTAATATCTGTCATGCCAGAAATAGGGACATCACAATTCAAATAATCCTCTGAAGCATAACATGACCCACTCTCCTTAGTGCAGGCACTGTATGGTACTTCCCACCTTCAAAACTCTAGCACAGCTAACCCATTTCCCTGAATCCCTTCTAAGATTTTGCTCACATAACAGCACACAAAAGTATAAAAACCCTTTGCCTGTGCCACTGATTTAACAATACTTACTCATCAGGATATGGTGGAGATGGAAATTCAACAGAATTGCAGGAATAAGCAGCCAAGGTGACTGAGGCTATATGAGGTCCCAGATAAAGTAGAAATGTGTGGAGGCCTGTTCCTAGGCCCACTGATGACAATATTCCTAGCCATAGCCACCATGCACACCACCAACACTCTTTGGCTACACTCTGCAAAAGCTGTGAAACAAACAAAATATTAACACCTCAGGACCAGATGTATAAAATATTAAAAGAAAATTCAACTTAAGAGGGGAAAACTATTTACTAAAATTAAGTGTTCAACAGAAAAAATTACCAAGACTTGTGTGGAGGTCACTTGGCAAATCATTCAGCAATACACAAGATACATGGAAGAGGTTATTATTGATTACTCCTATATTACAATTACAGTCATAGGGAAGCTTTTAACCCATAAAAATCATACAGCAACTGGGAAACAGGAGGTAATTAGTCCTGATCTGAAAAGAGAGACCAGCTCCAATTTCTTGGATCAGGGCCCTTCATAAAGACATTCACTCCTATAGATGTAATTTATCTTATGAATTGATTGCTACACGAGTTGCCACATGACTTCACATGATATTAATATACTGTACATTACACCTGTAGTTAGACTCTCATATAGGTGATGACAACCATAGCGACCTTCATATCAACATCACAGGTGAACTCAGGTGACAATACACATTAATAATGTAAAGGGAAGTTACTGCAATTACAAATTATTATATTCACTGGGAAGCACAAAACCCATAAGGGCCACACTGCACATGGGCAATGGCAGGTAGGGTGTGCCAAAGAATCAATATGGGTGGGTATCAGCTAATTTTGATGGTCTGCAATTGAGTATCAGTAAAAAGTTTTGCATCATTCCATCCCTAATGGAGGTAATCAGGTTTTATTCAAGCAAAGGAAGGGTAGCTCCAATTCCCTGGGTCAAGAGCCCTCCAATAGCATTAAGGTATTTTCCCTTGAAGAGATTGGATATACTACTGTACTTAATATAAAGGGTAACAGCATACCTACATCTACTATATATGATGATGATGATGATGATGTCATTGACATATCTTGCATGGAAGGAAGGGGTAAAAGTCATTCACAATTAGGCTTATTAAATATAAAAATAATAGATCAGTTACATATTTTCCAGATATTTTCTTCAGAAAACATGGCAAAGTCATTGGTACTTTACAGTGTGGGTTTAAAAATTTATAGTGTTCATCAAATTCATAACAATGAGATATTCCTTCTGCTCATACTATATTATTGTTATTGGCAGGGGATTTAAACCCACTCTCAACAGTATGCTCAAAATTGGAGATAACTCATTGTGCAGCAGGCTCACAAAAACACACATACAGTGGACACTCGATCATCAACCCAATGAACCAGGTGGTGGTGCTAGGCATTAAATATTCTGGATAATACTAAAGTTTCCCCTCCATGTCCTGACCTTCAGAAAATTTTAATCACTTCAATCAACATTTTTTTAAATAAAGAAGAAAGCTTAAAAATATGGCAATGACTGAAAAATTACAAACTGAATAAGCATGAACATAATTAATACACTATACAATTATATACTGTACATAAAATAATTGCACTGATATAAACACTAAGGAAACAATAAATTCAATCTTCTGCTTACCTGTAGTGTGATTTCAATATCTAAAAAATAAATTACCAGTAATACCAGTTAGTTGCTTTTAATTGAACTACAAAGTAATTAGTCTCATTTCAGTTGATATCCTCCTTTATATTGCTTATGTGAGTGCTGGGAATTTTGTCACACCCTTCAAACAATAACCAAATGAAGAAAGAATCATTATCTGAGGGAGAAACTATTCAATTAACCCTTTGACTGTTTCCGACATATAAATACGTCTTAAGAGCCAATGTTTCTGACATTTATTTATTTATTTTTTTTTTTTTTTTTTTCAACAAGTCGGTCGTCTCCCACCGAGGCAGGGTGACCCAAAAAAAAGAAAGAAAATCCCCAAAAAGAAAATACTTTCATCATCATTCAACACTTTCACCACACTCACACATTATCACTGCTTTTGCAGAGGTGCTCAGAATATAACAGTTTAGAAGCATATACGTATAGAGATACACAACATATCCCTCCAAACTGCCATAAATTCTAGCAGCTTCAAATCAAGCAGGAGAAAGCTGGTAGGCCCACTTGTGAGAGAATGGGTCTCCATGGTCAGTGTGCACCATATAAAAAAAATCGGGGAGCCAGTGGTGCATTGTGGGAATGCCATTTCAGTTGTCCTTTTTCAGCATGTCTAGCGGTAAGAAATATGTGATTCCCCAGCAAATCTGGGACTCTTCTCTTCCCAAGTGATGCTCTAACACAGATGGAAGTGTCAATGAAGATCAATTTCATGATTTGGAGGAGTTTGAGACCAAAAGCAATGGAGGAGGAGGAGGGGAGGAAGAGGAGGAGGAGGAGGGGAGGAAGAGGAGGAGGAGAAGAGGAGGAGGAGGAGGAGGAGAAGAGGAGGAGGAGGAGGAGGAGGAGGAGGAGGAAGAAGATGTAATAATATTGTTCCCTTGAAGCAAGAAAAAAAAAAGTCCACCCCATGACAGTGACAAGATAAGGGGAGATAACATCTGATAAGAGCTGACTTTGACGAGCGTAAACGAGGGTAGAGCTGATAAGGAAATGTTACATGACCATCGCCCTCCCTTTGTTTTTGCTGGTACACAAACATTTCTGTCTGTCTATTTGTCTGTCTGTCAAGCTCCCTGTCTGTCCATCTAGCTCTCTGTCTCAGAGAGAGCCACAAGACTGTGTCATCACGTTTACTCACATCTTCAAGCAGAGTATAGCACTTTGTCTGGATTTCTTGGGTTATCTTAGGTAATGTTACACTATGTATACTTGTATTTATGTGTACCTGTGAGACAGAGATAGGCAGACAGATAGAAAGAGAGACAGATTGAAAGATATAGAATGAGGGAGAAAGATAATTAGATAGAATGGAGGAGGGGAAGCAGCATCCGACCCCATTGTTTTGACAGGCGGGAGGGCCACATAAATTATGTGAAAAAATAAAATAGTGAAAAAAAACAAAAAAACCTTCAATTACAAGTAAACTAAAGTTTACCGGGTGAGCGGCAGTCGCCGCTGTTGCCATACGCAGCTCATTTTCTGCAAACTTCACGGCTCTATATCTTGGTAAGTACCGATGGCAAAAAATTATTTTTTGGACTAAAACACTCAAAAATAATCTTAACATTTTCATAAGAAAAAATAATTTTTTTTTTTTGAATATTTGGCGACATAGAATGACAGTTTCAGAGAGGGGCCTGAAACAGTCAAAGGGTTAACAAAGAGTCTGGGTGAATGAAGTCACATAACCGAGAGTCCACTGTGCAGAAATGTAGTATACATTTTAGCAGTTTTGATCTTTAAGAATAAGTTTTCCAAATAAAATTAATATGGTGATATAGTTTTGAAGTGGTTGGTGTAATTGTTTAATACATGCTTGAAGGAAAGGAAGGCAGCTTCACTCATTCTCAGTGGTTTTGGGAGAGACTTTAGAAAAGTTACAAAAACTGACAGGGAAGTTTAGGTGTCTGAAAAATAACTAACCTGAAAATGAGCATAAAATAAGAGCAAAGTGATAGGAAGAAAAAAAAGGATAGGCAAGGAAAGACTAAACATCAGATTGTAGGGAATGTCACTAAACGTACGTACGTATACACGTACGTACGTACGTACGTGTGTGTGTGTGTGTGTGTGTGTGTGTGTGTGTGTGGTGTGTGTGTGTGTGTGTGTGTGTGTGTGTGTGTGTGTGTGTGTGTGTGTGTGTGTGTGTGTGTGTGTGTGTGTGTGTGTGTGTGTGTGTGTGTGTGTGTGTGTGTGTGTGTGTGTGTGTGTGTGTGTGTGTGTGTGTGTGTGTGTGTGTGTGTGTGTGTGTGTGTGTGTGTGTGTGTGTGTGTGTGTGTGTGTGTGTGTGTGTGTGTGTGTGTAAAAAAGACAAGTCACAAAAATGGAGAAGGTAAAAAAAAAAAAAAAAAAAAAAAAAAAAGTTGGAAGAGTGTTGAGATAAAAGAAAAATGGTAATGCTCCATATTGGTACCAACACTTATATGGGAGTGAGGAATAATCTTCAAATGTATGTGAAGGCAGTGAGATGTCATGTCTGAAATCAATGTGTGGGATGAATATTATGCAGAGAATTAGGAACCTAGAAAATGGAAGATGGTGTGGTGGTATAAAAGGTACAATTCAGAGCATAGAAGAGGAGTCAGAAAGATGGTTTTGTAATTTAGACAGAATGGAGCAGAATAGATGGGAAAGTATAAGAGTGGATGGAAGGAGTAGGGAAAATCCTAGGAAGGGATGAAAGGCAGGGAGGGTAAAGAGGGTTCTTCATGGTAAAGCTAGCATGGCATCCACCAGAAATATCTGAGCAGGTTAGATTCCAGGAAAGGCAAGTGGTTTTTTGGAATTAAACGTGCTTTTGGAGTACGAGCAATGTATCATTCATGAAGGGATTCAAGGAAACTAGCTAACAAGACTTAGTTCTGGAGGTGGGAAGTACAATATACACATGCCTCTGATGCAACTGCTATTCAATATTTTGGTGAGGAATGATTGACATTGTTAAAGAAATAAAAAGTCAAGTGTACAAACTTATTTTTGTTTATTAACTTGCAGAAATTAAGGTGATGTGCTGCAGAGCATATAGCAAATCCCTCTAGCAAAGTACCTAATACAAATGTGCTCATATTATATGTATTTTCACATTTTACTTCCCAATTCACATTTTTACATGGTCTGATTACAGTATAGTACTGATTATTTATATCTAAATATATTTACCATACATTGTTATACAAGGTTTAAAAATTCACTACAGGCATACTTTCCTTAACATGAGGGTTGCATTCCTAGAAAACCATTTGACAGCAGGATCTATATGAATCTAGTAAAGTGATCTCACCAGGTTCCATTTTGAGTGCAATGAATAAATCAAAATACCGTAAGTGTAAGAGAAGTATTTGGCACAAACGTTCATTACAAACTGGCAACTTATAAAAATTAATATTTAATAAACAAAATATTGTATATAATGTAGAGATACAATATTAACGCCCACCAAATACAGATCAGCACGCTGTATGTCATGACTTGGCGGCAAAAGTTAATCGAGTTTTAGTATTAATGGATGGGTGGGAGAGGGGGCAGGATAATCAGCCTCTTCGTCTGAGGAAGTGTTTGAGGACACACCTGAAGGAGCAGGACTCTTTAGGAGTTACTTGTCTTACAGAGGGCTTTACCAAGCTTGCAGGCTTGCAGAGAAATATTCCTCTATGGAAGTTTGTACAGCTCACCTGTTTCTCCCTATTACAGCTCCCAGTAGCAGCACCAACTCATTATGAATTTCTCCAGCCTCCTGCAATAACACCACCTCATCAACCTCCTCAATATCTTAAAACCAAACATCTTCAGCAAGCTTAACGATGATCTTCTGAATATGTGGAAATGTTATGTTGAAACCACTGAAGGCAAGTATACATTCTGGTCAGCTTATTTACATACCATTCAATGTGATAGAGGTGACTTTGCTCCACAAGTTAAAAACACCGTCAATGACGTTCATCATAGGTTAGGTTAGGTAACATTCGTCAGGAAGTGTTTCCTGAAATGGGTCTTAGTCATCTGATGACCTGCCACTGGAGCTTTCGGTCATCTGACCAAGGCCATCTACTGGCTTACCAGTTCACCCCTTTAAAAATTAAGGCTATAATAGACATTCTTGATGATGCAACCTCACGAATTCCATAAATGTTGGCTTCTCTTCATATATTTCTCTGAAGGGTTGGGCTAATCTTTTCACGCTGCTTTAAGCCTTAATCCAGTGGTTGAATCAAGAACACTGAGTTCAAGGGAAAAATCTTTACTTTGACAAGGTAGGAAAGGTTACTCAAGATGAAATAATGCCTTGTGAACATTGTTTTGTTCAGCACAGCACAGTACAATATATTTCAACAGAAGAGCATAAATATGTACAGTATGTAATAAAACAGAAACAGATTCATGATTACCCAAGCCTTCCGGCATGAACACAAGATAAGGGAGAGACTGGCTTTAGGAGAAGCCTGCTCTTAGTGTTTCAGAATGGTATATCAATATGGGATGAAGCTTAAAATCCCTCCAGCTGCATTGCCACCCACAAGAAGAATAAGATGGTCCTTTGCAGCCTTTACAAACCTTAAAAAATCTTTTCTTTTAACAGATATGAAGGTTCTTGCTGGCATACACTTTCAAAAGAATCTAGTTCCATCAACACTAAAAACTTGCTGTTGTGCAGTCTCCTTCAATTATGTCCAACAAAATTTCATTATGATTATCTGCCATTTCTGGATTACCACTTGCATCCTCCCCCAATCATTTAAACTTAATATTAAGCGAATAAAAGACAAACTGCCTGTGACTGGCACAAACATTTATAATATTACTCAATCACCTTATGATGCCTTTAGATACTCAAATGAATTCCTTTCCATTTCTTAAATTGCCAGTCTACTTGTGTATCTGTTCCTTGATTTGAATACTTAAGTCTTTTCACATTTACCAAGACTGCTATTTGGTACCATGACTGAAGCACCTGTTGCAGTCACAGCATGGCATGTTGAGCATTAGTTTTAATTTTAGCCTCTTGATAATGGATCATGCCCATTAAAAGCGTGAATAAGAATTTATATTACAAGCTTGTGCACCATTTGTTCAGAAATCTTACATAAAATCCATCATTATTTTCCCATTTGCTAGTTAAAATTTAACCACCCAAGCCAGCCCTTAAGTTGTTCAGTCTCTCTAAACAAATTATTTTTCTTTCTTCATCTCCTTCGAATCTCTTCATTCTTCACAAGAGTTCACTCACCTACATTTTTCAATTAAAATCCACAAAGTTATTTCAACTTTGGTTTTTAGAGACCACATCTTTTCTGGAGCTGCCACTATAAACAGCCAGGAAGGGTTGTTGATCAATGGTAAAATATGCCAACATGCATACATGTCAATAAGACTATGTGATTTACAAATTTATTGAGAAAGAACAGTGTGAGGCAGCTTGTATGTGGATGCTACCTCTCACCGTTGATTACCAATAAATGCCATGAGCTATATATTGTGTCTTATTCAAATATTAACCTGGGAAATGCTTGCTCAACAAGAGTCTCGGTACTATCCAACAACGTGTATGTATATGTATGTATGTATATGTATGTATCTATATGTATGTATATGTATGTATGTATATGTATGTACTATATGTGTGTGTGTGCATGCCTGCGCGTGTGCATGTGTGCGCGTGCATGCATGCATGAGAAATGGTAAATATTCTGCCAAATATGGAAACTGATGAACTTACTTGGAGATACAAATAAAATAACTAATAAAGAGGGCTGAATATATTGGTTTTGAAGCCCTCTTCATCATTTATTTTGTCCCCAAGTGGGTTTCTGTTTCCTGTGACTAGTGTTTGTTACACTACCAACACTACAATATATCAATATAAAAAAAAAAAAATTGATAAGGTAGACCCTCTTACTAACGTGTTCCAAAAATGGTGAAAGAAGCCATTAGAGGAAGCAAGCAAGCAAGAAAAAAAAAAAAAAAAAAAAAAAAAAAAAAAAAAAAAAACTAACCAACCATACTGTTCAGTTTAAGATGAAAAGTTCTGAACATCCATTCTATTATGCTATTATATAGCTATGATTAAGTCACAAATTATACATGAAAAAAAATGTATACGACAATTGAATTGAAACATTTCAAAAAGCTTTCAGGAAGAGATCCTATGAGAAGCTAATCTGAAAACAAATACTGTATATATATATATATATACATTGTAGTGAAATGCTTTGGGGTGAACATGTTGGCAGATTGATCTATGAATGACAAGGAGAACAGCAGAAATACACAAAGGGGAAAAAAATGGTAATTGGTATGTTTAAGCATCCAAAAATTTTATTTATGGAGATAAAAAAAAAAATTAAGGGAGACAGGGAGAACCAGAGTACAGTGGTACCAACAGTTATAAAAGTGTGAGGTATGGGCTTTAAACATTGCGTGAGGAGGTTACGGACAGTGGAGACACGTCAGAGCAATGAATGGTGTAAATATTATGTAACTATGTAGAGAATTTGGAGCATAGAAGAGTGTGGGAGATTGTCAAAGGTATAATTCCGAGGGATGAGGAGGGGTTTATGAGTTGGCTAAGGAATTTAGAGGATGGAGGATAGAATAACAGAGGTGATAAAAGTCTGAGATAGAAGGAAGGACAGGTAGGCATTATCCCAGGAATGGTTGGAAAGAGGGGTAGAGGTGGTTCTGAGTGCTAGGAGCTTAAGTGTCCAGCAGCCTTCTGTGAGCATGTTAAATTGGAGCAAGTACAGATATATAGCTTTTAATACCTGATATGCTGCTGAAGTGTGAGCAAGGTTACAGCTATGAAAGTGTTCAGGGGGAACTGGTTAGTCATATTTGAGTCAAGAGGTGAGAATGGCAGTGCTTGCACTCTGAGGAAGGGGTGGGCATGTTGCAGTCAGAGGGTCATCTGAATTTTGATGTCAGCACACTTTTGGCAAGACATCAACTGAATGAGTGATGGTTAATGCATCTCCTTTTTCGGGTCACCTTGCCTTTGTAGGAGAGGGACTATAAAGTAAAAATAAAAATATACTAAATATACAGAAATAAAATATTACAAAAGATAGAGATTTTCCGTCTTAAAAGAAAAATAAGAGGAGGTATATCAGAGTTAAATACCACCAGTGGGATACTACAACTATCACATCTTGGCAAAGTAAGTTTATAAATGATGTGCAGTAAATGACTTGTCAGGAATAAATAATTATAATTCATAAATGTTAATGGAAGGAAAAAAAAAAAAAAGTCATACAAAATTTATGTCTCTCCTCTCTGTTTGGCAAGATTCTTAATATGCAAGACTTATCAAATTAGAATGTTGCTCTCAGAGACTAGTACTTACTGGGTGGTGAGGACCAGGTGTCTTGTAAGCTGCATAATAACCTCCTATAAGCATAGCTATTAATAACACACTCTTCTTATTGTTCCACAGTCTGAAAAGTAAATTTTACAATGTACTGCAATGAAGCTCTTCATAAGCTTAGTACTTTACTGATACTGTACTAATAGGAAAACTCCATGATCAAGTGTACAATGACTGTGTAACAAAAGCTTTAACAAATGCATGCAACACACACAGATGGCAACTGTAGCCTTTGGGAACCACTACTGAGTCAGAACTTAGTTGGCAAGTCTATACTGTATTTGACTAAATCACACAATTTGGTCAAATTTTTAAGTCTTCACAAAATTTTGCTGCATTATATGATACTAATTTTTAATTATGAAAAAGTTGCTAGCACAGATAAATTGAATAAGCAAATTTGTACTAAGAAGTAAATTAAGCTACTATATATTAGTTAAAAAGTACAAGAGTAAATGAACTGAAGCAGCCCACTCACTTAATCATATATTCGGCAGATAGAATTCCACATTCCCGGGAAAAGTAATTAAGAGTTTGTATTGGCCGTCTCCATAATACTATCTTTTCTCTCTCTTGTTTTTCAGCCAACTTTTCTTCTAAAGTTGGAACTGAGCTTATCATGCTTGATCCATTTGCCTGTTTGCTGCCCTTCCTTTGAAAACGCTTTTGTGCTGAAGTGTCCCCCATGGTTAATAGGTGATTGGGTTCAGGAATTTCTGTTCTTGTCTGGGGAGAGAACATGGTCTCAATAATGAAAAGTGCAAAATATTGGTAGTCATAGAATATTAATATTTTTTTATTTATTAAAACTAAAAAACTTATAATCAACAGTACAGTATTTAAATTCTCTTTCTCTCTCTCTCAAAAAAAATATCAATTTTAACATTAAAATATAAATGTAAACTCTCAAGCAAAATACAGAAATTCAATAACTACATCAACTAATAGAAACAAACTACAAAATTCTGTATTAATTTGGAATACAAAGTATGCTACACTATAAATGAACAAAGGAGCATGCAAGGTGCACATCCAACACTAATCATGTGAACAATGAAGGAACAGAAAGCAACACAGCCAGCAGCAACATCAATTTAATTACCCAACCAAAGACTTGCGAAGACCACAGGTAAAAATCAGGAGAGCCATGCTAGGATTGATTTAGATCATCAAATCAAGCTCTTGCAAAATGGCAGTTGACATCTAGTTAAAACTACTGAAAAAAAAAAGTTAGTTTTATTTATCCATCTAATCTATCAATACAGGCCTTTTTTTCCTGTAAATGAGATGGCACAAATGTTTTTGATTTACAAAAAGAATTTACTTTATAATACAGTGGACCCCCGCTTAACGATTACCTCCCAATGCGACCAATTATGTAAGTGTATTTATGTAAGTGCATTTGTACGTGTATGTTTGGGTGTCTGAAATGGACTAATCTACTTCACAATATTCCTTATGGGAACAAATTCGGTCAGTACTGGCACCTGAACATACTTCTGGAATGAAAAAATATCGTTAACCGGGGGTCCACTGTACTTTAATAAGACACGTACTACAAAAGGGAAAAATACAGTAAAAACTGTAAAATAAATTACAGTATATAAAAAAGTAGAAAAGATGCTATTACAATCTCATTAAATTTTAAATGTGAAGGGGAAACAGAATATTATACAGATTAATATTTATACCCAATTTATACTCTTACAAAAACATATAAAACAGACATAAATAAAATAATTAAAGATAACAGTATGTACTGACAATACAGGGACATAAAACATGCTACCTGTTGCAAGAGCTAACACTGGGAGATGTGTAAATCATAAATTTAGGTAGCAATTGAGAGCCATTCCAAACCTGGTGAATTGGGAGAAAATTTTTGTGTGTTGTGTTGAGTTTTATTTATACGATGGAACCTTGACTTACGAGTGTCCCAACATATGAGTTTTTCGAGATACAAGCCATCATTCAGTCAATTTTTTGCTCTGAGTTATGAGCCAATATTTGAGTTACAAGCGAGCTTCCTCTGCTTCCCCCTCAACCCACACACCGCTTGTTTATATGATTTCATGTTTTAATTCCATGAACATCAACATCTTTTTCTTCTCAGCACTGTCCCTTGCACTTACTTTCTTAGAACCCATGGTTAGAAAAAAGGCAAGTGTGTATGTACAATTTATATAACCAGTTTATTTCTTTACATTCTCTATTATGTTTTTATACAATATTTCTTATTTATAAATACATTGTTTCAGTGTTTTCCTTATGAAACTAGTGATATAGTGCAGTTAGCCTCATAAACTCCATTTTCTCTTATAATAAGACCTCTGAAGGGGAAGCAAAGGAAACTTGGTCAGAATGGGAAAGGCAATGGCCACCACCGCCCACCATATAATGACATTTTATTCATTCTAGAGTAAATATCATGTTTATGTTATTTATATTGTTTATTATGTTATATTAGATGAATTGTGATAGATAAATAAGCCGTAGAGTTGATATTAGAACAGGAATTCTGCTGCAATGGATTAATGGCATTTCAATAATTTAAATGAGGAAAATTGATTTGATATACACAAGAACATAAGAAAGAAGGAACACTACAACAGGCCTACTGACCCATGCAGAGCAGGTCCATGTCCCCCCCTCTGCAGATTAGCCCAATGACCCACCCAGTCTGGTCACCTCCACTCAAGGAAGGAGCATGGCACCAGACTCAGCCGCACAAGCTAGTCAGGTCCAACTCACACCCACCCACACCCACTCATGTATTTATCTAACCTATTTTTAAAACTACACAACGTTTTAGCCTCAATAACTGTACTCAGGAGTTTGTTTCACTCATCCACAACTCTATTACCAAACCAGTGCTTTCCTATATCCTTCCTGAATCTGAATTTTTCCAACTTGAAACCATTTCTGCAAGTCCTGTCTTGGCTGGAAATTTTCAGCACGCTATTTACATCCCCTTTATTTATTCCTGTTTTCCATTTATACACCTCGATCATATCCCCCCTAGGTCACAGAACGGATTAAACTCGTTAATTGAGGTTCCACTGTATTCATTTCTGGTGTAGTTCAGTGGTTAGCAAGCTTGCCCCACAATTAGTGGCACAGTAGTTCAATCTAGCATGATTTTTCCCGCTCTTAACATTCACTTGTGCAAATTTTGGTTTATGCTGACAAGAACATAAGGACTCAGGAACATATGTTACCTGACAACAAGGTTAGTACATATATTATTAGGAGATAACAGTATGAAGAACAATTTGGGCACCAGTCTAACCTTTCATGTAATTATATGTGGTCATTAAGTCTTCCTATGAGCCAATGAGGTCAGTTTTACTATTTTCAAACTTTCTTTTAACTTATTTCTTAGCACTATTCAAGGAATTAGTTCTATTGGTCATACAGTATTTGAACTTTTTCTCTCTTGTTCACACATTTTTTGGTAGGAACACCTATTACACTACATTTTAATGTTGGCCTAGCATATGTTAAGAAACAATTTTATTTAGCATTTCCCCAGCCATATAGATGACACTTAATTCAAAACTTTATCTTAAGCATAAATAACATGAATATGTGTAAACAGAGAAAATGAAAATCATTTTGTAAATAACACCAAATGATAAACAGTACCTAAAAAGTTATTACTGTATATCAGAAATGTATGAACAAGTTGCCTTTGCTTGATGTTACTCCACCCTAGGCAAAGTATAAATTTTATGTTATTCTTCACACCAAGTGAATTTTTCTTTTACTTGTACAAAAATGACCGAGGAATAAAATTACACCACAATCACTTTTTCTGGGTGTTTCAATTTTTTTCAAAATTTTTTACTGGGACATTTGTAAACAGGCCTCTTAAAACCTAAGCAGGATAAACTACAGACAGTGAGTCCCTGATTCATAAGCATTCACTTTACAAGAATTCACCTTGACAGCAAGACATTTGGGAACAAACTTGTGTAATAAATGTATGTGATTTGGCTTAACGAGTGTCAAAAACATGCTCCTTGCTGGTCCAAGGATGGCATTTTTCACAGGTATTGTATAATATTAGTTAACAAATTCTACATCCCAAATTAGTTTCTAAGAGCCAGAGTGATTAGGAAAGCAGTGACATGAAGGCTATTTGGAGCATTACCTTAAAAGAGGAAAATTTTATCCTTCCCTTCCCTTTCCTTTCCCCCTCAAACTAACACCCAAACCCCTGATTATCAAGCCATCTCATCTATGCTGTGAATGTTTGTGCCTATTATATAATATCCCACATCATATTCAGTGGTGAACTCCTCCTTTTCCACTGAATTTTTCAGGCAATAAATAATCTCCCCTGGAACAAATGTAAATTTTTATAGTGAAAAGTACATATGACAACAAAATTTGGAAATATAAACACAAATGCAGTATAATGTGATCCTTTATTGATTACGTTTTGCCCACACAGTGGGCTTTTTCAAGTCACAAACAGAACTACCTGGGGTGGAAGGAACGCGAGTATTTATAGTCCGGTTCAGAATGCTGAGGTCAGGTGAAGAATGCTGCATCTGATGATGTACCGAGTGGGGTTATAGAGTCTAAAAACTTGGGTAGCTTGGAAAGGAGATTGGATAAGTTTGTGAGCAGACCTTCTACAGTGTTCTTATGTGGGATAGCGATGAAGAAGTTTCCTGGCAAGTGGTTCAGCTATGTTATAGAAGCCACTATTCTGGTTGAAGTTGTCGGATATAGAAATAAGTGATGATTCCAGGATTCTTCGGTATTGAGTGTTGTCTTCTGTGGCGATAAGTCTTGAGTTTCTGTAGTTTATCAAGTGGTTGTGTGAATTACGGTGTTGTACGCAGGCATTCCTTGTGTCGTCAGACCTGCTTGCGTATCGGTGTTCTGAAATACGTGTTTGGAGGTCCCTTGATGTTTCGCCCACGTATAACTTGTTGCAGTCATTACAAGGGATTATGTATACCCCTGCAGAGGATGGAGGCTTGTCCTGTCTACTACTGGTGATGTCCTTGATGGTCGTGGTTGTGGAGGTAGATACTTGGAATGATGTTTTGGCAAAGATGTTGGAAACATGTTTGGTAATGGAGTTGGTGGGAAGGACTATGTATCTCTTCTCGGCAGTGTCTTCTCTGGGTGTGTTGAAGATGTTTAATGCCTGCCGTCTGCAGTCTCTGATGAAGTGACGAGGATAGTGGAGTTTAGAAAATATTTGTTCAATTATAGTGCATTCTTCCTCAAGGGACTCGTTGCTGCAGATTCTGAGTGCACGCAGGAAGAAGCCTATAATTACACCACGTTTGGTTTTGGTGTCGTGGTGAGAGTAGAAGTGGAGAAGATCGTTTTGGTTGGTGGGTTTTCGATAGACTTCAGTTGACTTGGCGATTTCTTGTGCTCAATCGATAGAATAGAAGTAATACTAGTGAAATAGCTAAGAATTTGGTTGATTGGAATAATGTAATTGGCCTAAAATGGGAGTCAAAGTCGGCAAAATCGCCGATTCGTAAATATCGCTGACACATCAAAATTCGCGAGAGCATAATTTCGTCAATTTTCCACCAATTTTCGTACTTTTTGTTTTATTACCTTCACAAAAAGATTCTCTACGATTTCATAAGAAAAAATAACAAATTTTTTTTTTGAAAATTCTTGGACACTGGTGCGTGACTCCAGATTTGGGCCTTGGACCCTGAAAGGGTTAACATTTTTTTTTCATGGCA